ATTCTTGTCCCTCTGGAGCAGATGCTGCTGAGGGCATTCCCTTCCTCCTTTCTGAACAGATCCTGCTTGCTTGGCTCCTGCTTTGGCCTCGCCACCCTTGTGGGAGCCTTTTGGCTGTGGTGTGATGGATGGCACAGCCTCTGCCCGTGCCCTGCTGGGGCAGGACACCAGTCCTGTCCTGCAAACCCTTCTGCCAGTGTGAGTTCTGAAGGCTGCTGGCAGAGCTCGTTACAAATTCACTTCTCAAACTGCCAGCTACTTTTCCCTCTCTTTTCTTCTCCAAATTACTCAGCACTCATCATGCTGAATTAATCCAAGTGGCAGTTTATCCTTTGTAAATTAAATATTAGGGCAGGGTGTAGTCATTAACAGTGACTAACAACCCAGCGAAGGCTCCTGGCACTCTGCTACGGCAGCAAATATATTCCCATTTTCTGGTGGGCTCTAAAACTCCTGCTGGCTGCTGAGCCTGTGGTGGCCACAGGAATCTCATGGCTGGTTTTTGGGTCCATCCAAGGCAACACAAGTACCTTGTGACTGCTCCATGTGTCCTGAGATTCCTGTGGGATGGATACAGCTGGTGTCCAACGCTTGGTTTGGGATCACAATTGCTTCCCCAAACCTTGGTGATGCTTGAGCCACAGCAGTGTGACCTCTTGGCACAGAGGTGTGGGCAACCAGAGGTCTGGGTGATCCTGGATTTGCATCTCTGCAAGGGTTTTTATTCTGCTCCCAGTCCTGTTGATGTTGTCCTGGGCCATGGGGGATGCTGGAGATGGAGACCATCACCCCAAAATGAGCCCATCCACCTTCACCAGCAGGATGCTGCTGCTGGGGACTGAGAAGGTCCTGGGAAGCGAAGCTTTGCAGCCTTTTTTAATATTCTTTCTGTCTTGGGGGCATGGCAAAAATAGACATTTGGGATGCATTATTATTGCTGGAGCTTCATTGAATGCCGTTTATTATTTTCAGACGCAATAAACCAAACAGTGGAACCCATGAGACCGAAGGGTCAAAATGTCCTTTAAGCAAATCCCTGTGGAGCTGTGGCCCCACTAATTATCCCAGATTGTCTACAAGCCTGTGGCAGTTAAAACCTAATTATGGCAAGTTCTCCTGTCACCACGGATACAACTCTACCCCACTTGTCAATGGCAAGGAAACCCCAGCTTAAGAAGGGTGGGGAATGAGGCAAAGATTCTCTTCAAATACTGATGTAGTTCCCTTGGCAAAATCAGATGTGTCAGCTCGACAGGTATTTTATCAATTCATATCGGCACTGTACACGTTGTCTCAGGGATTGGCAGAACTCACCCTGGGCAGGACGGATGAGTTTGGGGCTGCAGAAATAAAAAGTTTTGAGGGGAATTAAAAAACTTCAGAAGTTGGCTGCTAATTTTGTATATTGTTGGGTGGGATGGTAAATGGAATCCCATGGGAGAGCGAGGTGGCCTGACATGCTGCATTCCTGTGGCGAGGATTAATTTATTTTCAGGAAGAAGAGAAATACATAATATTAGTGGATGATTTTAAGCAAAGCCATCCCCAGGGCGTTTGTGTGTCAGCTCATGATGGTTTGAGCGTAATCTCATGGGGGTCCAGTGAGGGAGCAGTGCAAACCCCCTGGCTCCGTGTGACTCTCCAGCAGGATGGATGAGCTTTACCCAAACCCCAAAATCTGCTGTGAGTCAATGTTAGCGGGTTTTGGGTGGGGGTTGCTTTGGGAGGGGCTGCCTAGAGCCGCAGGATTTTTGGGGGTGCCACGGGGAAGGCGTTTTGCTCTCCGTGCGGGGATGAGGGACCGGGCGCCTTCAGCTCCCGGGATGCTCTTCCCTTCCCTCCCCTCCCTCCTTCCTCCTCCTCCTCCTCCTCCTCCTCGCTCCGCCGCCCATCCCGCGCTGTGCGCAAGCGTGTCCGCCCCCCGCCCGCCCCGCCGGGCCGGCCCCGCATCCCGCACCGCCCCCCGCATCCTCCGACCCCGCCGCCCCATGGTGAGTCCGCAGCCGGGGGTCCCGCAGCCCCCCGGCTCCCCTGGCGTGTCCCGGGCGGGTGGGCGAGTCGGGGGTGCTGAGCACAAGAAGAGGGGTGGGCAGCAAAGCCCCGGTGGTTTTGGGGCGCTGGAGGGGTCGGAGCGGGGCAGGGCAGGAGCTGTGCCCGCTGGCAGCCCCCGGGCAGGGTTGGCATAGGGGGTGCACACTGCGGGTATGGGGGTGCTCCCCGCTCACCCCAGCCCGGACCCCACCGGAGCATCCCACGCCTTTGGCATCGATGTCCTGGCGAGCGCGGCGCATGGGGAAGGGAGAAAGTGGCTTTAATTCTACGTTTTGTGGGTTTTGGGAAAATAATCATTATGGTTATTTTTCTAATTAGTGCAATTAATCAGCGCCTGAAGTGTGCGTGTGGGCAGCGGCGGGAGGAAAATCCCCGCTCTCCCAGTGCCCTTCCATCTGCTGTCTCCCCATTCCCGGCAAACAAACCCCCTCATCTCGCCGGGAACAGACGGCCCTTGGCATCGCTCCTGCCCGTGGCCACTCCCGGGGAAGCAGAGCCCACCCCGAGAGCCCCGGAGAGAGGGTCTGGCATCTCCCCATGGCACGGGTGGGCTCCTTGCGATGGGTCTGGGTGGTTGGAATGCCCGGGCCGGGCTGGGCAAGGGAAAACCCTCCCGGAGGCCCTGGCAGGGGAGAACGTGCCCCGTGTGCAGCTCAGGACAGCACCGCTCCCCTGCGCACAACGGGCTGAGGAGGATTTATTAAGTGGTCTGAGGTTTTCCCCCATCCCTGAGCATCCTCTGACTGGTGGGTGGCTGTGCTGCCGTAGCCTGGTGATCCCAAAGGGGTAGGAGGGGTCCCTGCCGGTCCCCCACCCAGTGCTGGTGTGGACAGAGCTGCTGGCAGCAGGATCTGGGCATGTTCGTGCAGGATAAACCCCGTCCCATCCCACTGCGTGGGCCCGGAGCCCTCTTCTCCCATGGGGCACGATTGTTTCCAGGCAGAGATGAGGATGCTTGCCCTGAGACCAGCAGGAAAAGGACCAGCTGGACCTTTCCCCATTGATCTTTTCATGTCAGGTCTTTGCAGGGTGAACCAGTGGTGCTTTATTGTTCTGGGGAGTGGAGAACAAAGGAAAGTTCTTCCCCTGGGTAGTTTTGGGTTTTGTTTTTGTTTTGTGTTCCTCAGCTTGGACACCATCTCTCCTGTTGGATCAGTAGGGTGATGCCCGGTGGGTTGATGCTTGGCCAGTCTGATCTCCATCTCTTGCTGAGATGAGCTGAATAAAGTCTTGTGGTGGAACTTTTCAGGAAGCTCTGCTGAATTTCCCTCTTTCCTGCTGGGCTCTCCCCCTGGATGCTCCTGGAGGCAGGAGATGGATTGCCCAGGCTTTGCCAGCTGTCCCTGCCGAGGGTGTCCATGGGACAGGCACCCCAGGCAGGCCAGAACCTGGGATCAGTGTACAACTGATGGTTTAAGTGTTCTCTTCCCACCTGGGCTCCTAACGATGTGTCCAATGTTTAATGAGCTCCTTATGTCGCTGTAAGCTGTAGGGTGGGATCAACGTGCTCTGCTGGACTCTCCCTAACCCCTGTCCCTAATTGTCTGCATCATTAGAGGGCTGCTTGCTCTTCCAGCTTCAGGCAGGGAGGTAATAGCAGCTGCTCCAGCGAGGCGCCGATTTCTGAGAAATATTCCTCTGCAAATGTAAATATGAAAGGAGGCACTGTCTGTGGACACTGCTTTTAAGGGATCTCCACTATGGAGATCTGAAAGTAGGGTGTGTTCCACAGCTGGGATTGGAGCATCCTCCTGGAGGATCCACCCTGGAGGGAAAACATCCATTTGGAACTCTGGAGCAGCTGTACTCATGTCTACAAACCTGTATTTTTATAGCTTGTGTCATCCCTGTTCTTGCAACCTGCATCAGAGGTGGATGCCAGGCTGCAGGATGTGGGAATGTGAGACCAGTGCCCTCCCCGTGTGTTCAGGGGTTTTCAGCTGGCAGCGATCCTCAGGTTGAGTCCTGCTAATTAATTATTTGGCAATATCTCTAAATCCCATGTATTCTGTTGCTTATTCTCTTTGATGAAGTGATGGTCCCATTGCTTTAGCTTCGAATATTCCAGAGCTGATGCAGGCTGGCAGCACGGAATCTGCTTCTCCACAGCTTTCCCTATTGTGCCTTTTTTTTTTTTTTTAATTTATTTAATGTTATTTTTCCCCTTTCATTTTTTTTCTTCTGGATGTAGCATCTGTGTAAGGAGCAGGGATGTGGTCCTGTTCCTGCAGAGACTGGCATCCTGGATTCACTGGGTTCCCTCTGGGATCCTCTCTACCCATTCCAGTGTGGGACCCCTCCCCCCATATGCTGCCCCCAGGGACACTTGCGTGAGTGGCTTTGGTTTTGCAGTGAGGAAAGGAAATTATCTGATACTTTCTTGTTGCAACTTCTGGTTCTCTATTTTTTTGTGTTTCTTAAGTTCCTGTCACTTTCACACTTCTCTGTCCTCCACCTGTAATCCTCCTTTTTTTTTTTTTTTTTTTTTTTTGAGTTTTTTCTAGGAAAATTCTGTGTCTTCTTGGGAGGGAAGAGGAAAAAAACCCCAGTACTTGCTAATCTCTTGCTTTTCCAGCTGCTGACCCCTTGCATGTGACTGGGGTTGGGCTGGAAAGTTTCCTTGGAGGAAGGAGAAAGGCATTTGGCTGTCAGGGAACGGAAAAACCAAAGGAGCCGCTCTCCATCCTGGTTTTCCTCCGGACTGGCGGATGCTCGCAGCGCTCTGGGGCTGCTCTCCAGGATGTGTTTTGCCTCTGCCGGAGTCCCCCGAGCCCCCGGGCTCCGGGGGTGGGATGGGGCAGGAGCTCAGCAGGGCTGGGGTCTGCCTGTCCCACATGGATCTGCCCTGCTGGGAATTGCTCTGCTGGGGTGTCCAGCGAAGGCGGGTTGGACCAGCTGCAGCTCCCTGTGCTTTGACTCTGCAGCTCCCTGGGCTTTGACTTGGGTCAGTTGGACCAGCTGCAGCTCCCTGTGCTTTGACTCAGGGAAGACTGGAAGGGTCTGGGGACTCCCCACCCTGTCAGCTCCTTGTGGAGGACTGCTCGGTCCAAGCCAGGCTGGCGATCTCCATCGGCTCTTCCGTGCCATCCTGAGGATGTTGGGATGCTCCTGGACCATCATGGGATGTTTGGAGGAGGGATGTAGTGATCCCAGGGCTGAAGGAAGACTCCTGACACCACACCAGAAATAAGATCCACAAATCCATGGAAGGATTTCTGCACCGTTTTGGAGTTTTGGTTTCTTTTTATTGCAAGTCAGAACAACCCTAAATCACCAAACCACATCTGGATATGACCATGCAGGAAGCTGGTTTCCTATCCCGTTTTTTGCAGGTTTAAAAACACTTATCTGTGCTGAAGTTTGGTTCTTCTCTTTAATCCTGGGTCTGTGAAGGAGGCTTTAACCTGAGCTCACGCCGTTGGAATTCCCTGCTGCGCCAGGGAGAGAGAGGCTCCTTGCCTTCAATCGCTTCCAGATGCCATTCCTGGTCCTGCTCTTCCCCTTGCAAAATGTCTCCCCCAGCCCGTCGAAGTTTTCCCAGCCGGATTCGACATCCCAATATCCGGCCAGGCTGAGTAAGCTGAGCCTTAATTTTTTAACCAGAGCCTGATGCCAGTGGTGAGAGGTTGGAACTCACCCCGTGGTGTTGCACAAGCCGGAGCCCTGGGGTGGATCCTCCGTCGGGGTTTGAGCTGCTTGCGACATCGGGTGGTTTTTAAATTTCTTTTAAAATGGAGGTAAATGAGCTGGGATGGAGTTTGGGGTTTGGGATCCCTTGCTGCACCCTCTGCCCACGTTGCCAACGGGGCAGAGCTTCCCTCAGCCCCAAAATGGCAGGAAACTGAGGCAGGAGGGTGCTGAGCAAGAGTTGAGGAGTCTTAAACGCTGCTCTGGTGCTTTGCTGATGCCGTGTGGCCCAGCCAACCCAGCATTCCCACCACGGGTCATAAAACACCCCTGGATGGGGATTAAACCCCCAGCACAGCAGCTCTGTGGATGTTGGGCTCATCTGACCCCCCTGGCTTGTGGTCTGTGGGTGAGATTTTGTGACGTGAGGATGGATCAGACCTGTCTGTGTTGGGAATGGAGGAAAGCATTGAAGCATTGAGGGGAAAATGAGAAGTGAGGGAGAAAAATGCAGAGAGGGGGGATGCAAGTGAGCTTTGGGGATGCAGGACTGAACAGGACTAGGGTGTGGGAAGTGGGACGGTGTCAGAAATTAAGGGCAGAGAGGGGTTTTAGGGGTTAAATGTGGTGCTGCCTTCGAACAAGGCATCAGGAGCAGAGCCAAGGGCTGGGAATTCCTCAGGCCCATCCCAGTGCGATCACCAGTGCTGCTTCCAAACCAAAAAATAGATGGGAAAAAAAATCACAAAGAACTGTCTGTTTGGGCATATTCGGGCTCAACAGGTTTTGCTCCTGGGCGGGGTCTGGTATTTGGGATGGGGGAACTGAGGGTGGCCAAGAGCCCAGCTGTCAGAGCAGGCTCTTTATGCAACAAAAAGATGCGATTTGTCCTCAGAAATCTTACCCTGGGCTTCTTTTCCACTGCCTTTTTTCTCGTGGGGTGACGGCAGCCCTCAAGGGCTTGGGTGGTGCAGACAGTGTGGGAAGGGATGGGCAGCTCCTGATGAAGGGCTGGGGAGCTGGGGGGGATTTTCAGTTAAAATATGGATGAACACAAGGTTTTGGAGCCCCAACACCTTGGCACCTGCCCCAGGACCAGGTCGCACTGCCAGAGCCCTGAGTCCTCCTCACATTTGGCTCCTTCAGCTTCCTGGTGGTCCATTGGCATCTGCCCTGGAGCTGGGGCTTCCCCAGCCCCTTTGCTGCCTAATTAACAACTGTTGCTGCATAATCCCCCCTGCATTTACAAGTAAAATCGACAGATTATCTGTATTATGCAAACGCAGCTTTAAATCTTAATTATTTATTTGCATGGGGTGTCTGGAAATCAGCAGCACGAAGCCTGGGGATGCTGTTCTCTTGGAAGTGCAGACTTGTGCTAGGAAATGAACCCAAAGTAGGCTTTTTTTGGTATGGTGGGTGATGCTTAACACCCCAGCTTGGGAATATGTCTATTTTTTCCTTTAATTTTTTTTTGGGGTGGAGGGTGGTTATTGTGGGAGGCTCATCCTTAAATAGCAGTGGTTTATTTTTAGGTCGGTCGCTGCTTTGGATAATCCGGCTTGGCTGGGCAGCTTTGCTTTTCTTCCCATTCTCGGGGATTTGGTAGAAATAGGTTTATTAAATGATTTTATTTTTAATAAAATAGTTGAATAAATTTAATAAATTATTAATCTAATTAAAGAAACATAGGGTTGAAGGATGGGGGTTCTCCTGGTGGTTGCCCTTTTGTGCTGTCCTGGACAGAGAGCATCCACGGGGATGACCATTAGTGAAACCTCTTCCTAAAGTGTAATTCCCACACTGGAATTACAACTTTGGCTCGGCCAGAGGGTGGTTGGGAAGCAGCTGGATTATCTCCCATTAAATACTTGCTGAATGAATAAGCTGCTGGTCGCGGGGCCGTAGCGACTGGGGTGACGTGAGGGATGTGCCGGGCTTGGAAACACCTCGCTCCTGCCAGCTGGAGACGTTTTCTCTGGAGGAGGATGAGCTCACCTGGATTTTATTCCCCTCCCAGCCTGGCTTTTGCTCTCTCCCCCCTCGGGAGGGAATTTTAACTGAGGGAGGCTGGCGATGGAGCACCGAGGGACAGACGGACGGACGGCTGCCTCCCTGCAGGTCTGGCCAGAGCCTCATCTCCATCTCCCCCTCCCCTGTTTGACCAGCCCTGCCGAGATTTGGTCCTCGATGGGGAGGATGGTGACCGGAGGCATTTGGAGGCTCATCCCTGCCCTGTGTGTGTCCCCTCCTGCCTCTGGAATATCCGTTCCCGCTGGGATGCTCCGACACTGGGGCTGAGCCCTCAAGGGCCAGTTCTGGCTGCTTTAGTCTTTAGCACAGGAACGGATGTGCTGACTGGATTTTTGTTTTCTTTTCCTCAAAGCCATGAGCATCCCGGAGGCAGACGTTAGGGAGTGGTCAGAAGGTGCCTTTTTACCCCTCAGATTTGGAAATTATTATTTAAATGATTAAACTGATAGGCAGGAGAGGAAACTGAGGCTAGCAACGCAGCTGGAGAAGGAAAGGAGCAAAATCCGGCTTGTTTAGGGCTTCTTGAGGGGTCTGGGATGTGTGAAGTTGATTTCCCGCTGGGATCAGCTGCTGGACTGGTTGAGCTGCCTGCGGCACGTGGTGAAAACGGCGACTCCTGACCTGGTGGACACTGGAACCGTGATGGGACTTTTCTGGACCTTGGGCTGGGAACATCCGATTGCGTGGGCTCATGGCAGGGAAACCACTGGGATGGCTGGAACCTCGGGAAGAGCAGCAGCAATCCAGCTCCTGGCTCTTCCAGTCGAGCTGGAAAGACCAGCTTAGGGCAAGACCTCGGATCCACCAGGATCCTGCCTGGCTGATGTGCTTTAAGGTATAGCAGTCTCCTGCTCACCCAGGGCTGCAGGATCCTCCTGGAGCCCCCAGGCAGCTCTGAACATCCTCATTTCCACAGGCAGGGGCTGATGCTGTGCCATGAAATGCTTTAGCAGGAGCTCCCTAGGGGGAGTTTAACCTTGTTAGTGGATCCTATAATTCACAGCTCTAAATGAAAAGGCTCTGTGTCAGAGGCAGCAATGTTGGATGCTCTGGTGGATTCTGGGCTTCTGGAAGGACCCTGGTGCCAAAGGTGAATTTTGTGGCCTCAGGTGCATTTGGTTTGGCTGCTGATTGCCCTGAGCCCTTGGGATTAATTGCCTCCCAAGGCAAACATGGCAGGAGGAAGTGAAGGTTCTTTGGGCAGAGAGGGAAGATATGACACTGGGATGGAGCCATGCCTGTCATCCCAGGACATGTGCGGAAAGCCTGATCCCTAGCAAGAAGAATCCATGAGAAACCATCTCAGGCTCCTGGGTGGTTTCCATCCCCACCCCTTGGACAAGGATGTAGCCCTCCTTGTTAAATTAATGGGATATTAGGAGAGGAGCATGCTGTGGGGAAGGCTTGCACCTCTCTCATCTCTGCTTTTCCGAGCGAGGTGAGGAAACTTCTGGCCCTTCAAAGCTTTCCCTTGGAAGCACCTTCCCTGCCAGGGCTTAGGGAGCAGCTGACAGAGGGAGGTTTGGCTTCCTCATCTGCATCACTGCTTCTTGCACTGAAATGAGCTGACATTCCCTCTAGTGTGTTTTTTTGGGGGGAGCCATGGCTGGCACCACACCCCATCCATCCCAGGGGCACAGGGAGAAGGGCAAAGCTGCTGTCCTGGGGCTAACTGGGGCAGCAGTGGGCTCGCTCCCCTGCCTGCCTGAATTTCCCCTACCTGGGATGGGAGCAGAGAGGTTTCTCTGAGTGGCACCATGGCAGGAGGGTTTCTGTGCGTGGCGTGGTTTCTCGGCAGGATTTTCCTCCCCCAAATCATAAGGATATTACAGTGCTGGGATATGATGTGCAGTTCGTAAACTTTTGGGGGGAAAGGTGATAGATGCTGAAGTAAGGAGCGTTCTCTGTGGAGGAGGGCAGGAAAGCTGCATCCCTTTTCCCTGGAAATGGGCACTGCTCCATCTCAGGGGTCTTCCTGCAACTCGGAGTGATTCACAGGAGGGGATTTCGGGGTGAAAGGCCGAGGGATGTTGGGGAAGCCGCGGCGAGGGCTGCGCTGCGATTGGCCGCACCTCCTCCTTAAGAGCGGCGGGAGCCGGCCCCGGGGAGCCGCTGCCGGCCGAGGTGGGTGGGAAGGGGGTGGATTTTGGAGGCTTTTCGGAGAGCTCACCCTCGGGTGAGACCTGTGCCGGCTGGCCGGGGCTGCCCTGGCCCGGGGCCGGCCCCGCTGGGCGCTCCGGGCTGCCCCGGCCGGGGATGCGCGGCGGTCCGTGCATCCTCCGCAGCGGCTGCAGCCCTAAGGATGCTCTCTCTTCTCCCTCTCCCGTCTCAGGGGAACAGAGCACGGCCGCGGAGATCCCGCCGAGCTCCCGCCTGGACCAAGAGGACGGGCCGTGAGTAGCCACTTGCTGCCAGCTAATCCCCGCCCTGCTGCGACTGCCTTCAGCCTCTCCCGCCGCTGGGGATGCAGGAAAAAGTCTCCCTGGGATGGGAATCCTCCTCCCTGTGTGGGTTAAAGGAGCACTGAGGTGATGCTGGGGGTGATTTGCTCTATATGTGAGAGAAAAGAAGAACCCAGGGGATTTGGGGCTGACCAAATCAGGCTGTGGGGTTGCTCTGGCAGTTCCGCTCCTCTAAATCTGGTTCAAAACAGGAAACAGAGGAGAAACGGTGGGGCTGAGGTTAAACGTGAGCCTTGCAAGGGGGGTGGCAATGGCATGCAGCTCCTGAGCCCAAAAGGGGACCCTCAGAGTCCCTCAGGAGCTCCCTGCAGGATAACTCAGCCCTGGAGCTTGAGATCCCTTAATTTCCCACCCCTTTTCCCAGGAGAGCTGGTTAATTGCTTGAGTTTGGATTGGGTATGGGCTGGAGCATCTCATGGTTTAGTTGGTTTAGTTTTTACCTTCTAGAGCTGTAAGGGAGTGGTGCTCCAGGTGGGTGTTCTGCCTGCTGCTCCCAGCAGAGTGAGGAGAGGCTGCCTGCACCCTGCCTGCATCCCCAGCTCACTGCCTTCCCTTTCTGCTGCTTTTTTGGGGGGAGATTGAACCCAAAACACGGGCTCAAAGCTCTGTTGCCAAAGCCGCCTTTGCTGTTGCTGCTGCATGCCTGGGTGATCCCTGAGGGTGGTGATACCGGAGAGTAAACACGGCACCGAGGTGAGCGTGGCAGCAAGGGGGGGTAGGACGGGGCAGGTGGGAGAAGAGCGGGCCTGGATCAATGTCAGGGGATCAGGGATGAAATCCCACAGGATTATCACTGCCCTCATCTCCTTAGCAGGGGTTTCTCACCCCATGGGTGCCTCTGCTCTCTTCAGCAGCTCGGCCATAACCTCCAGGTGTAGCGAGCTGCATACAGCAAGAGAAGGTCTTTATTTTAGTGTTTTAAATAGCAAAAGAGTGATTAAACCTATATAATAAAAAGAATCATATGTAATCTCTTAACACTTTAGCTTAACTGTAGCCCTGTAGCTCTGTGATGGCCTGAGGTTACCCCAGAGCAGTGAGATACCCACATAGCCAGTGTTTTGGGGCTGTAGGAAGGGATTTGTGTCCCCTCCCTTTGTTTTTTCTGCTGCATGGATTGAAAAAAAACATAGAGGGAGAGGAGAGGATGGAGCCAGGGCTGGTCTGAATTGCTCTGGAGCACATTAAAATCAACAGTGCCATGGGAAGGCAGAAGCAGCTTGGATTTATCCTGAGGACCTGTCACTGTGGAAGTACTTGTTGTCCCTGAGCTTATTTGCTGTTGCCACCTTCAAAATTGCAGCCTGGTCATGGGTAAATATTTTGTTAATACTCGCATGCCAAAGAGGGCTTGCTTTCCCTATCGTAAATCTTTGGCTGGGTTATTGTGTGCCCGGGATACCATGGTAAAGGAAACAGCACTGCCACTCCGAGTAAGAGGCAATTAAGATTCCTTTAAAGATTCCTTTAAAGTGACTCGCAGGGCTCTTAAAATAGGATAAATGTGGGGATCAATGCACAGGCTGGGCTGGCTCCACACCCTCTGTAGGGTCATGCCCAATGTCCAGTGGAGTTGATTTTTGCAGTACTGTGCCCTCACGACCCTCTTCATCCCCCCAGCCCACGGCACTGCAGCTCTGGCTCTTGACATTGCTGTGCTCCATGGTTTTTGGAATCCCTTGCCCCCTCCCAGCACCCCTGGTGCCCCTTTGGTATCCCTCTCTCCCTCTGGGAGGGGTCTCAGATCTGATCTTGGGCTTGCATTAGTGGTTGTGATCCCACAAGGATTTTCTCCCCAGCTTGGAAACAAAACTCCCCGAGCACCAGGAGCTTGCAGCAGCCGGGGCGAGGAAAGTTTGGGATGCCAGGCTGGGGATTTGGGTGTCTTTGATGCTCTGCCAAGCCCAGGCAGGGCTGGATCCTTTCCCTGCAGGATGGCCCCCGGCTGCCTCCCAGGTTGCGCTCAGGCTCCGGCACGCGCGGCTGTGCCGGGGCAGGGCTGGGCTTGGATGATCCTGGGGCTTCTGCTTCTGTGGGGGTCCTTGCTGTCCTCCAAGGAGCACAGGATCTGCCCTGCTGCTTCCCCAAAGCTCCATGTGTGTGGAAAGCTGGGGAGAGATGGTGTGGCTGGGATTGAAGGGGTCCGTGCTGGCCTGTCTGTCTGTCTGTCTCCCTTTAGTTCCCACTGCTGAGAGTGAATCCTTAGGGACTGCCAGTGCATCCTTTCCTCAGGTGCTATCCAGCTCTCCTTCAGTTAAAAATAAAGATGTGTTTTTTGGGGATAAACTGTCAGAGATGCTTATTTTTCTGTGAGCATCCTTCTTAGCCAGGAAAGCTGCAGCAGGCAGTGGGTGGCTCCGTGTCCCGTGGGCATGTGGGATGGGACGGTGGGAGCACAGCAGAGGTGTCCTTGCCTCCTGTCATGCTTTTCCCAGCCCATGGGTTACCATGGAAACATAAAAGTACCAAAGCTGCTGGTCCATGATGCTTTGCCAGGATGGCCTGGGATCACCATCCATCCGTGCTGGGATGGTGTGGGGGAATTTATAACCACTCCCCACATCCGTGTTTGTTCCATGCCATTAAATTCCTTTTTTCCCTTTTTTTTTTTTTTTTTTTGCTGGGAGCAGCTTGGCAGGTGCTTGCTCCCACTTTGTGGATTGAGATGCCTTAAATCTGGAAATGTTGGAGCCATTGAGGCCATGGGGGGAGATGGAATGGGTGGATGGAGATACAGGGATGAGCCTCTCTGCGTTTCCTCCCTTCAGGAGGGTTGGTCTGTATGGGTGTTGCTGGCATCTCCCATGGACACGGTGAAACTGGGAGGCAAAACGCTGCTCCAGGTCAGGGGCAGACAGGGAAACTCCACAAGGCTTGGACACCAGCTGCCTCTGCAGCATCCTGGGATGGGGCTTTCCCAGAACAAGGGGTGGGGAAGGGAGTGGGAGATGGGGAATGGGCCGTAGGGCTTTTGGAGGCTTTGTGCAGCGATAATTGCAGCCCGCGGTGCTGTGGGGGTGCATCCTACAGCATCAAAGAAGGGCTTTTCCAGTCACTTCTGCCAGCTGTGGGGAGCTGAACCCAGCGGGGACTTTCCCCCAGCTTCAGGGCTCGGTGGGGCAGGCGATGCCCTGGAACAAAAATGAGGGTTGCTCCCAGCCAGGGAGGATGTTGTGCTGAGGGGTCTGTGCTGGGGGATCTGAGGGTGCTGTGGTGGGACAGGGATGCTGCAGGAGGCTCTGAGGGTGCTGTGGTGGGACAGGGATGCTGCAGGAGGCTCTGAGGGTGCTGTGGTGGGACAGGGATGCTGCAGGAGGCTCTGAGGGTGCTGTGGTGGGACAGGGATGCTGCAGGAGGCTCTGAGGGTGCTGTGGTGGGACAGGCATGCTGCAGGAGGCTCTGAGGGTGCTGTGGTGGGACAGGGGTGCTGCAGGAGGCTCTGAGGGTGCTGTAATAGGACAGGGGTGCTGCAGGAGGCTCTGAGGGTGCTGTAATAGGACAGGGGTGCTGCAGGGGGCTCTGAGGGTGCTGTGGTGGGACAGGGATGCTGCAGGAGGCTCTGAGGGTGCTGCAACACTGGGGATGCTGTGGGGACCAGCAGGACCCTTCGGCAGTGCTCTCTCCAGCCACCCTACAAGGAGGACACAGGACCTGGCTCGGGGTGTTCAGAGCTTTCTGCTTTCAGCAGCTGCTCTGGTGTGGGCTGTGGATCTGGGAGGGCTGTGGGGAGCTGGAACTCATTCCAGAGGCACCAGGGGTGCGGGGGCAGCCGGGTGTGCTCTGCTCTGCACCGCATTCCCTGATGGCTTCACTGAACAACGTTTCTTCTCCTCAGGGATTATAAACCATGTTTGCCTTAGAAAAGTTTTGCATCAGGCCCAGCTTGTGCATACAAGCCTGGGAAAAGATCATAAAGCTGTCAAAAAAGATATTTTAAAAAAGCTGGTATGTAAAGGCAAACATTGCGGGCAGAGCAGATTTTCCCAGTGCTTTCACTGCTGGAAGGGGTGAAGTGCGCTTGGGTGGGTGTTTTGGCACCCAAGGGTGAAGCTGGGGGGTGAACATGGTGCTAAAATCAGGTCCTGGTGCCCAGCAATTTCCAGCCCTGGGCAAACAGCCCCCCCAGGAGCAAACCCAGCCTCCAGCTGAGGCAGTGGATTTCCCCTTAGGGCTTTTGTGGCCGGTTTTACTAAGAACAAAACTCCCCAGGAAGCACAAGCTGCTTTTTACCTTCCCCTAATTTTACTTTTTCCAAGCAATTGTATCATGTAAAGGGGTGAGACCCCCACTGTGCCTTCTCCCTGTATTGCTCCCACCTGTGAGGACCCAGCTGTAGTTTCATCGTCCCAAGCAGGAGGGTTTTGTTGAGCTGGAAATTCAGATGCAGGATGAGAGCCAGTTGGGATGGGGGTTTACTTCTCCTTTCTGGAGCCCCCAGGAAATGATGGGGCACAATTATCCATGTTTTACGAAGGAGAAGTGGTTCAGAGGGAGGTGTTTTCATAGGGAACCTCCTCACCTGTCCCATCCCTCTGCTGTCAAATGGACACAATTTTCTTTTTCTAGTGTCCCGTTGCTTTTAGTGTGGTTTAATTGTCCTTAATTGCCTTTTAATTGCTCTTCCTGCCCTTTTTAATAAATTATTCTCCTGCCCTTTTAACTTCAGAAGTCTGTGGCAGGGAAGGGAAGAGCCTGGCTCTTGTGGAACCTTCTCTGGCCCCATTTCTCTTCATTCTTGATGCATTTTTGCCCGCAGACCGTGGCCCTGCCGGGTGTTTGGCAGGTGTCAGGTCTGTCAGTGGCCCTTCCTTGGGCAGGGAGGGGGTGAGGTGGGTGCCCTTCCTTGGCAGGTGAGCAATCCCTGGAGGCTCTGATGGGCAGGCTCTCACTGAGGGTTTGCATCGCCCTGCCCCACGTACACCTTTCCCCTTGGCTGGCATTCAGCACACCCAGACGTGTCTGGTCAGAGCCTGGAGGAGCTCAGTTATCAGGGGCAAAGCCAAACCCAGCTCTGAGCCTGGCTTAGAGCAGGGTTCACCCTGGGAGCAAAGCCTCCCCTGTACCCCAAAGCTTCTCCCACCTGGTAAGTTCATTTTCTGTCCTTGCTGTGTTGGTGGGATGGGATGAGCTGATCCTGGGATGGCTCCAACCACGGCTCTCTGCTCCTTATTCCAGGAGGGAGAGGTTTCAGAGGAGCACAAAAGAGTCCCCACGTCCCTGGGTAGTGTTTGTGTGGGCACTAAGCTCCAGCACCTCCTTTCCCCAGGCCAGGATGGGTGAATCCAAGGCGTTGGAGGTTCCCAAAGTACGTGATGCTCTTTGGTTTGGTCCTGCTCGGCTGCTCCTGTCCTTTCTGACTGGCTTTGTGGTGGCACATTAGCTTTGTTTCTGCTGGTGCCAGGTGGGTCCTTAAGCTGAGTTTAAAGCCTTCCCCCATGGTATTTGGTGGATGAAACCCCATTGGGAGCTTGTTTTTCCTCTCTAATTATTTTTTTTTCCTTTGGCCTTTAATCAGCAGGGCTGAAGCTCCTTGGGAAGTGCTGCTTGCTTGGCTTTGATAAGCTCTCTAAACCAACCTTTTGGCAACAAAGAAATGTGCATTTAAATAAATAAATCCTTTGGGGAACACTTGCATCTGCTTGTCTGCAGATGCAGATGGGCAAGGAGGGGGTGATGCCTCTTGGATGGGGTTGTAGGATCAGCTCCGATGGTTTTTCCGTGTTCTCCTGCTGCAGGTGACCAGCCACAATGAGAGCTCTGGCCCCCGCCTGATCCCTTTCCTGCTGATAAAAATGATCAACAAGTCTCGTGAGTCCCACAGGGATCCCGTCTGCCTCTGTCCAAGCAGGGATGGGGAGCCTGGGGAATTTGTATTTGGAAGTCTGGGGGCTGGATGCTGCTTTGCTGGGGTTCCAGTTGGGTGATGGAGTGTTGGGGTATCGCAGGAGGGGATCACAGCAGAGAGGGTGGGTTTGGGGTCCTTGATCTCTGGCTTGGACACCCGGAACCCCTTGGACTTCATTGCACAGAAATGGGGTGGAGACACACGGAAAAGGGATGTTTGCCTAGGCTTTGATGAAAAGCAGTCAAGAGGAAACAGAAATGTCACAAGGGCTTTTAAACCTGGGACAAAGCAACCTGACTCATCTTAGAGCCACTCCTCTCCGGGCCGTGGTGCCAGCCGAACCTGCTCCCTGAGGAGAAGGCTCTGCCACCCTGGATCTAGCTCAGGATGCTGTGGGACCCCACAAGCGACCATCTAAACCCCATGGCTGACACTGGTTTGTCTCTCCCCCTCCCCTCTGGGCTTGCAGGAGGGAAGATACTCGGGGTGCTGGCGCTGTTTCTGGTGATGGTTTGGTACTCGATCTACCGGGAAGACAGGTACATACAGCTGTGAGTGCTTCTTACTCAAGTTTAATGGACCTCCTGCCCTTTCCTTCACTCCTGGGAGGCAGCTGCTTCCTGCCCATCCCTCACAGGGATGCCAGAGCATGGCAGATTCCCTGGATCCAAGGGGACTGGGGAGGTGGCAGCATCCTTGGCTGCTGGAGAATGGGGGACACAAGCGAGGTTCCCCCTCGGTGTGTGGTGGCGGTTGGGCTCTGCGGGGTTTTTTGTAAATGCTGGTGCTTTTCTGAGCCCGGGAGGATGGAAAGCCCTGCTCTCTTCCCAGTGCCAGCGATGTTGATGGAGATGGGGAAAGTGGAGTGTGAGGTTCATGAGCAGAGCAAGAGAGACCTCTTCTGATGCAAGGCTGCAAGCCCAGCAGATAAATGCCCAGGAAATGCCAGCCTTAAATCCGGCTGGAAATCTCTCTCTCACAGCTTGAATCCCACAGTGGGGATGCCTGGGGGTGCCAGAGCCCCTTTTGCCAAGAGGGGGCTGCAGAGGAACGGGCATCATTTGATTTAATTAACCTCTTCCTTTACAGCTTTTATTTCCCTGTGCAAGAAAACAACAAGACAACGTGTCCCCTTGGGGAGGTGGAAAAGAAAGCGGCGCAGCTCATTGGGAAGTGAGTTTTGGGGCTGGGAGCAGGGAGTGGGGGGGATGCAGAGCCAGGACCCCCCTCCCTGTGCCATCCCTGATCCCAGCCTCACTGACCCTTTGCTCCTTGGCAGCTACACGAGGGACCACCCACTGTTCTTGCAGCTGAAGGACTATTTTTGGGCGAAGACGCCGTCGCTCTACGAGCTGCCCTATGGCACCAAGGGAAGTGGTAAGCCTGACAATGGTCTGTGGGGTCTGTCTGTCCGTCCTGCTGCTGCTCCTGGGGCTTCCACTTCCCTTTTCCTAAAGACATCTGCAGGTTGATTTTGTTGGGGACTATTCCCAAGTTACTTTCTTGGTTTTTAGACTCTGCAGCGAGTATCTTCTCACACATTGTGCCTCTTAAAAGAGTTTAGGGTGGGCCAGGTTTTACTAAGCTCCAGAAACAGATTATCTGCTTGAAATCGGGATTAACAGTAGGAGCAAATTCAGCAGGGATGGGGCAGCACTCAGAGTGTTGTGCCAGGCAGGAGCTGTCTCCCTCACCTTCCTCATCTTCCTCACCCTGTCCTTGCCCTTGCTTTGCAGAAGACATCCTCCTGCGCCTGCTGTCCATCACCCACTACTCCCTGCCCGAGAGCATCCAGAGGTAACACTGGGGTGGGTTTAGGGGCTTTTCTCTCTTTTTCTTCATCATTGCTCTCTTGGGGGTGGTTGAAATTTATCTGTTGTGGGCCCAGGATTTGGCAAAGTGGACCTCTGCAGCCCAGGGGTGGTGGATGGAGCGTGGGAAGGTTTGGAGGCTGGACAACACGAGGTGGTTGGAATCAGCCTGGTTTTGGAACAGGCCTGGTTGAGACAGGGTTTTCTCTGGCAGCCTGAAGTGCCGGAGGTGTGCCGTGGTGGGCAACGGCCACCGGCTCCGCAACAGCTCCATGGGGGACACCATCGACACCTACGATGTGGTGATCAGGTACAGCCCCGAGCCCGGCCCTCTGCTCCCCCCAGTGCCACCCGCAGCTGGGGCTGACGCCTGCCATGTCCCAAAGGCTGAACAACGCCCCGGTCCATGGCTACGAGCAGGACGTGGGCTCCAAGACCACCATGCGCCTGTTCTACCCCGAGTCAGCCCACTTCGACCCCCGGGCCGAGAACAACCCCGACACGCTGCTGGTGCTCGTGCCCTTCAAGCCCATGGACTTCCAGTGGATGGAGGCCATCCTTAACGACAAGAAGAGGGTGAGAGTGGTGGGGAAGCGGGTCCAACCCCTCCCTGGCTGCTCCAGACTCCAGCTGTCATGCCACCCCATGCTTGGGGACATCTGGCTCCTTGCAGGTTCGGAAAGGGTTTTGGAAACAGCCCCCATTGATCTGGGACGCCAACCCGGAGCAAGTGCGCGTCCTCAATCCCTACTACATGGAAGTAACTGCTGCTAAACTGCTCAACCTCCCCATGAAGCAACCACGGAAGGTCAAACAGGTAAGGGGTGGGGATGGCCAGTCACCCTGCACACCCTGAGGGGGGTCAGCTGTCCCCGGGCAGCTCCCTGAAGGCTGTGGCTCTGTGTCCCCAGAAGCCCACCACAGGGCTGCTGGCCATCACCTTGGCACTGCACTTCTGTGACCTGGTGCACATCGCGGGCTTTGGCTACCCCGATTCGGCCAACAAGAAGCAAACCATCCACTACTACGAACAGATCACGCTCAAGTCCATGGCCGTAAGTGTTTGCCCCACAGTTTTGTCCCTGTTCCCCCCATTTTTCCCCCAGGAGATGGGATGGCAGCCCACAGAGCAGCGCCAGGATGCTGAATGGCACGGGAGGCTCTTCCCTCTCACTGCCCTCCCATGATGAAGGTTGAAGTTCACCTTTGGATGGTCATCATCCAACTTCTCTTGGTAGCCAAATGTCCTTGGAGGCACGGGGAGCTGGATCCATCCCTAGTTTATGTGTGAGAAGAGCTCGTGGACGGGGGATTGGGTGGGGAGGGTTCTGTCCCTGCTTTTGGGGAGGGCAAGGTGGATGGTGGGAAGGTGTGAGGGATGGAAGGAAAGCGCGTGGCTCAGACTCTGGTGTCACCCCCTGCTCCCCGTCCCGCAGGCATCGGAGCACAACGTGTCCCACGAGGCCGTGGCCATCAAGCGGATGCTGGAGCTGGGGCTCGTCAGGAACCTCACCTACTTCTGAGGGCGGCGGGGTGCGCAGGGACACCGTCCCCAGGGCGAGGAGATGCCGTCCCCTTCAGTGAGGGGACACTGCGCTGGCCCGGCTGGAGTGACCGAGGGCAGAGCATCGTTGTCACCACGGCCTGGGACTCCTGGAGCAGGGCCGGGGCTGGGGGCCGCGCTGGACCGCGGGTGCCCAGGGTGGGGCTGCTCCTGGGGGCGCGGGGAGCCCGGCGGGGCCGTGGCCCAGCGCCTTTTCTACTGACGCACTGAAGCTACCGAGGACTTGGAGGGGGTTTTTGGGGTAGGGGGATCCTCCCTCCCAGCAGGCCTGAGGGGGTGAGTCGGGGCAGGAGCCCTTGCCCTGGACATCCTCTTCCCCTTAATTCCCTCATACACAGACGAGGGCCCTGCTGAAGGGCTGATTTTGGGGTCCTGGCCCCTCCCCTCCCCCCCAGGGAATGGGAGCCTTTAGAGGCTAATGTTGCCTCCTCCCTGCCCTGGACCTCCCCCCAAATATTTAATTCCCTCCCTTTTTTTTTAATTTCCTTTTTTACTTGGCGGCCCTGTCCTGTGCCTTAGCGCTGGTGTAGGGACTCGTCCCCACAGCCCCCCTGGGTGGGGGCACCCCGGGGTGCTTGGCTTTCGGGATCTGCCAGGGCCCTTTGGTGGTGCAGATTAATTTAATTAATTTAAATGCTTATTTATGGTGGAGCTTTCACCCAGGGCCCGCATGCCACTGCTGTCAGGGACGGGGGGCCTTGGGTGGGCTGGTGTGTGCTTGGCTCCAGGGGTGGGCATTTGGGATGTCCTCCCACCATGGAGGGGTTGACTGGTGCCTTCTCCCTGTTGGTGTAGGGTCCCCTCTGCCCCCGTGGGGCTGCAGGTGTCGGGGGGACCCATGGATGGGGGTGTTGGGGCTCATGCTGGCACCCAATAAAGTCCTGGTGAGGCTGGGATGGGCTGGGTGCTCCTGGGGCACGATGGGGGGTGTGAGGGAGTTTCGGGGCTGCGAGATGCAGGGAGGGTGACCTGTCCCCATGCCACTGTGTCCCCGCATCCCCTTACCTGTTGTGATGCCCCATCTCCTGGCTCCCACGCTGGGGTTGTGGGGGCCCAGCTGCCCCGTGCCTCAGTTTCCCTCCATCACCGGCCATTTCTGCCCCAGTTGGCCATGGCACACCAGGGCTCCAGGCCAGCTCTGTGCCGGGACAGGGTGGCAGGGAAGCCGATGTCCCCGCGGGGTGGCCATCAGCCCAGGCGTGCCACGAGAAACACCTCTTGTATTGACCGCGGTGCCGCGATACAGCGTGGAGAGGCCCTTCCCGGGGAGTCCCTGTCCCACCGCTGTCCCGCACCTCCTGTCCCCACAGGGACCCCCCGACCCCCCGACACGGACTCTATAAGTATGGACACCGAACACCACAAGGGAAGGGAGGGAGGGCAGCGGGAAGCGAGCGGCTGGGGGTGCGCGGCGGGGGCGGCTCCCCGGGGCTCGGCGCATCCTCGGCGGGGTTGTGCTTAGCGTGTGCCGGGGAGGGGATGCTCGGCCGGTCCCCTGCCCCCAGCCCCGCTCCGGGGGGCTGGATCCGGCCTCTCCCCACGCCGCTACCGGCGGTGCCACTGTCCGAGCGCGGAGCCACTGCGCCCACCGGAGGGTCCCGAGCGTCCCGAGGGGCTCAAACGTGCGTCTGCATCCGCCTCTGCAGGGGCCGGCTGGGGTCCGAGTTCTGGGAAGACGACTGGGAATGGTGGGAGGAGGATGCCGAGGCCTTGCTGGCCTTGTCGAACTGCACGTAGCCGTCCTGCTTGCCGCTGCTGCTGATGCTGCTGTCGCACTGGGTGTCGAGGAAGGAGCTGCTGTCGCTCATGGAGCCGCGCTGGAACTCGCGCTCGCACAGCTCGATGGAGCTGCTGCCCATGCCCAGCACGAAGCGCTGGCTGTAGTCGTAGAGGCGGCTCTGCCCGCTCAGGGTGCTGTAGATGTTGGTGAAGGACATGCCCGTGGGCACCCGCTGCTTGCCCGCCGGGCGCAGGTCGGCCGGGCAGCCCGACAGCGAGATGGTGGGGGTGGAGTGGTGCTCCTTGAAGGTGTTCACGCTGTAGTAGCCGTTGGTGGGGTCCTGGGGAGCGGGAGAAGCGGGGCAGGTTGGTGGTGGCCTCCCTGGGGACCGCGGCATTTGGGGGTGCCCACCCTGCCCATTCACCCAGGATATGAGGGACTTACCAGAATCATCGAAAATGCTGAGCTGGGAGAGACCCACAAGGACCATCCAGTCCAACTCCTGGCCCTGCACAGACACCCCAACAATCCCTCCCAGTGCCTGAGAGCAGTGTCCAAAGGCTCCTGGAGCTCTGGCAGCCTCGGGGCCGTGCCCATTCCCTGGGGAGCCTGGGCAGTGCCAGCACCCTCTGGGGCAAGAACCTCTGCCTGATATCCAACCTAACCCTCCCCTGGCCCAGCTCCAGCTGTTGTCTCAGGTCCTGTTGCTGGTCACAGATCAGAGCTGTCCCTCAGGAAGAAGCTGCAGACCCTGCTGAGTCTCCCCTTGGTCTCCTCCAGGCTGGACAAGCCAAGTCACCTCAGCTGCTCCTCATATGAACCCTCTAGACCCTTCCCCATTTTCATAGCCCCCCTTTGGAGGACACCTCAACCTCCAAACCATCCAGCAATGCCCTCTTGTGCCACCAGTGAATTCAATCAGGCTGGGACACAAACTCCCCTTGCCCACCACTGTCCTGGCACCACAGCTTCGTGTTACCCCTAAAAGCTGCTGGGGCCACAAGACAGTGCCAGCATGCCAGAGCCTCTCTTCCTGCACAGGGACAGCCCTCTGGGACAGGCCAGCACTGGGGACATGGCCCGAGGACAGACAGCCTGGCAGCAGCAGGGCAGGGTTCTGCCCGGGGAGGGGTTCCCAGCACCCTGGGGTGCAGTCAGGAGTGACCCATCTCTTCACTAGGGACAAAGACAGCCCAGGATCCAACTCACCTTCAGGTTTTGAAACTCCTTCTCCTCCTCCTTGAGCACCTCGAGCTGCTTCAGCACCGAATCCTGCTGGAACTCCCCCCGGTCCATCTAGGGAGGGACACAGGCAGGGTCAGCATCCCAGCACCGCCTGCCCCCGGCTTCTCATCACCCCCAGGCCCTGCGGGGTGAGCCCCACACCCACCAGCAGCCCCAGGGCACTGGGGAGTTGCCACCAGCTGGATTCAAGGTCTGCCCAGGGGTGTCACAGCAGTGTCCGAGGGTGGATGCCCAACAGCCACACAATTCCCTGGGTTACAGATGGTTTTTCCCCGTTTAGGACAGAAAAAAGCAGGCTGATGCAGAAAGCGAATTATTTACCGAGGTAAGGGTTGGGGCTGCACCCGCTGCCCAAAGAAACACCCCCAAAATCACCTTGGTTTTGTTTTTGGTGTTTTTTTGTTTTTTTTTGTTTCCCTTCTTTTCATCCTTTCCTCCTCAGCTGAACTTGGCCTCCTCATTAGTTTTCCTTTGAAGGCTGGCTGTGATCGGGGGGAGGCGGAGAGGAGGGGCAAGGTGCACATTAATTACACCACAGCTTTAATTACCCTTCCTTCAGCACGCGGGGCTGTGCAGGAAGCAGGATAATTATCAACCAATTTCTGAGTTGCCTTTTTTTATCTTTTCCCGTATTCACCGGACGCCTCCAGCCCTTCTCTGGCATCACAGCCCCACGCCAGCCCCAAAATCCCCTTTCATTGCCCAAATTTCCTCTTTAAGATGGTAAGTGGCTGTGGAAATTCACCCCGCGGCACTTGCTGTTCATCTCCCGAAAGCCTTTGATGTGGCTGTTAAAGGCAATAAATTAAAGTACCTGAGTTTTCCTAGGGAAAAGAAAGCCTGTATCAGCCATTGATTTACCAGGATAAATACAAGTGTCGCGGAGGATTAAACGAGTGCGGCTAAAATGGGACGTGGAGGGTTTTTTTTTGCTCTGCCAGCCCTGGCGACCCCCTCGCTCCTCTAAAGCAGCTCTGCAAAGGCTGACTGGGGCTGTTAACCCGATCGGAAGGGTTTAACAGGTCCCAGCTCGGAATGAAAACGAAAAACCAAAACCACTTCTCCTCCTTGGATTTGCTGCCTTTTTTTTTCTTTTTTTTTTTTTTTTCCTTTTTTTTTTTTTTGTCTTGGCGTGGATGCCCCAGAGCAGGGCAGGGCCAGACCCCAGAGATGGAAGAGAGAGGAGAGAAGGGAAGTGGGAACCAAGGGAACAATCCCACTGTGACCAAACCTCCCTGGAATTCATGTCGGGTTTGATGGGGTGTTTGAAGCCACTTTATTTAAGCCATTTATTTTATTTAAGCCATTGAAGTGATGGTGGGAGTCATCCAGGTGCTGGGATGCTCCGTGAGGACCCTGCCTGTCCCCGACGCTCCAAATTCGGCTGCACCATCACATCAGTGAACCTCCAAGTCTCCCACTGCAGCCGGTCATTGACGTCACATTTATTAAAGTTTTCCAGCATTAATTAGCGGTGGGATCCTCGTTAGTGTGATTTCTGCTTTGTCATCACTGAGCAAACACCGGCAAGGGACTGATGTTAACTCAAGTTCACTCCATCACCAATATTGACAGGAACTATGAAGGGGGAGAGGGAAATAGAAGCATCACTTCAGGCTGGCTGTGCTGGTTCTCCCGCCTTTCACGCCACCAAATGAAGCCTCCGAGATGGAGAATCCGACAGGATATTAAATTCTTGGCTTTCATTAGTGGACACAATATGTTTTTTAAAATGCTGCTTCAGGTGCTTGAGTATCCTCCAGACCCGGCGGGCTCGAAGTGCCTCCCCCGCCTCGCTCCGGGTTTAATTATAATTTTTCCGGCTGCTTGGGTAATTGGTGCGGGCCAGACGTTAGCAGGGTGAGGGATGTTGGTGACGATTCTCCAACAGCGCTTTCCTTTGCTCCCAGGGAGGGAAAGAGCCATGAATAAAGAGCCCCTCTGGGAATTCCCAGCTGGGTGAAGCCTCATCACCTTCAAACAGTGGCTGTGGCCTGGGTGGCCGACCCGCTGGGGGAGTGTGGCTTCCCACCGCAGGAGAAGCTGCCTTGTCCCACCTCTCCCCAAAATGCTGCTTTGGGACGGGCTGGTGCCCTGGAAGGAGCCGGCTGGGAGGGAGGGATGCTCCCCGAGCCTCCCAGCGAGGCTGGTGTTGTGGAGACTCTGACAGCTCAGGGCTGCCGGTGCTTCCCAGGGTGGCAGTGCCAGGGGCCGCTGGGCACAGGGAACACATCCCAGCCCACGGGCACGGGGGGAAGGCAGGGAAAGGGATGCTGTGTCCACTGGGATGAGCGTAGGAATGAGCCTCGCCCAGAATGGAAATTCGGCTGCTTTGATTTTTCCTCTTCCACAGGGATCTGAGCTGAGCCCCTGTCTGGGAAAGGTGTCTGGTGCTGATCGCCTGTGAAGGCTGTGAACAAACGAGAAACAGCCCTCGGAGCAGAGGAACGGCTTTAAGAGGACAGGAAAAAAGAAACCTATCACTGGATTGATTATTTTAACTGTTTCACTCCAAATATGAACCACAGGCAATGTCTGGATCTGCCTGGCCACAGTGGGGCATGAATGATCCAGAAGGGATGACTGATCCAGAGGTGGAGATCTCTGGGATGCCCCTGCCTGCCTGACACTTTGGGATCGTCTCTGACTGCTCATGGCAGTGGGAACGGCTCCTGTTCCAGTGAGCTCATGGGCACCCTGTGCCCCCCTTCCCCGGGACCCTGTGACTCTGATCAAGATAACCCCTGGATCCTCCTTCCTGCCCCAACGGGGTTGGCGGAGAGCCAGGAAAGCCCACCCTGTCCAAAACCTATATGGACCCCTGACATTTCCTGTTCTTCCTCTTTTGCCCCGCTCTCCCATGGACACCACAGAATAAAGAGAGCTGCACCAGCTATATCCTGGGGTGAGAGCCTCTTTTGAATACCTATC